TAGTGTATATAAATCTCAAAAAGATTGTACATGAATGTGACGAGAGAATTTGCGTCTTCAGCAAAGATACGGCAGACTCAGATCTGGTCAGACAGCTTTTGATACATATTACTAAAAAGTTGATCCTGGCAGGTAGACTTCTACAAATGGAAAACATTTGGTATTGTTTCGTGCATTGTTCACAAAGCTGATTTCTGTCTTTTTCCCTAAAGTTCATCATTATCCTACATGAAGACATGAACAAGCATGTTCATCAGAAGGAAAAAGATGAGACAGTGAGAGGGTTGTGGCTAGAGTAGCCGATCAGATTGACTGTATTTGTGAGTACCCCTGACCTTTTCCATAAACCGGGCCCAGATCCAATAGCCGACAGTACGGAGGAGATGAAGCCATCATACGCAGGTCCACGTATGTTCATCATGGTACTGCAGGACAAAACTCTCTCACAGGTAGAGATGGAGATGTTTGTTTATTCAAGTGTGCTATTAGTATACTTCTTTTAAACTAAAAATAGGAAAGTATACTTTTAGTCTACTTTTTATGTACTTCTCAGAAATGGGCTTTATGTACTTCTCAGAAATATACTTAAAATGACATTTAAGTATACTTGACTTATACTTAGAAAAAGTCTAAATATATTTTAGCTATAATTGTGCTCCTAGAATCCGTGTTTTCATTGTTATACTGTAGGGGGCGCTAGTACACATCTTCTGTACAGAATTTCCAAAAAACACAAGTGAAGAAGAAACCGAAACAACAGATGCTTCCACATGTATTCTAACACGATCGTCAGACATAAAACAGTATCAAAACTATGTAACATTATGGAATAAAATGTCGACCAATGAAGAGGTAATAATAACTGTCAAGCTTTGGGGTGTTGATCGACTTTATCTACGTTTTGATTATCATTCTGAATCCAATTCATAGTCTTTTTTCAGCTTTTTGTTCAAAATGTTGTTTATTTCTTTATTTTTTATTTATGAAACTTATCCACATTCAAGTGTTTAAAAAAAGAATGCATGAAGCTAGAATAAAATGTTTTTGTTTACAAGCAGATACCCTGTTCTTTTGATGTTTTGTATGTTCAGATATTCATGTAACAAAATATATACAAATTAATACCTAAATAGGGACTATTATTTATTGAGACTATACTTCAAAGTGTACTAAAATGCTACTACAAGTATTTAATTAGTAAACTATCAGTATACCTATAAGTTCACTTTTAGTATAGTTGCAGTACAAACTAAACATTTTGATGTAAACTAGTTGTGTACTCAAAGTTTACTACTGTTATACTTAAAAGTATACTTTTATATACTAGAAAGTGGGCCAATTTAGTCCCAAGGAGTATTGAAATAGTACACTTACAAGTATACTACTAGTACACTGATATTTGTATACTTACTACATAAAGTATACTTAAAAATATACTTGAACTTTACTTAAGTATACTTACTAAAATAAACTTGAAGTATACTACTTTTTGGTAAGGGTTATAGTGATCTCTGCACATTAAAAAGTATTTCAACATTGAACAAATGACACACTTCACCTTTAAAATATAGAACTCCAATTTGCAAGCCTTGTATAGACTGATCTTTACTTAAGATTTATGGGTTGTGAGGTTTACAGAGAGTCTGCAGATGGTAATATTTGCCTGTTCTCTGACCACATCCTTGTAAGAACTGTTTAGTCATCTGCCATGGCAGTCATACTTGGACAAAATGGATGCCTAGATGAAATGTGTCATTGTGGATTTCTGGTGCTTTGTGGCAATTGCAAGATGGCAGCTTGCTTATTTGATTGTAGGTTGCTTGTTCAGTTGTTCGCCACAGATGTGATTATAAATGTTACTGTCCTACTCTTGTCAGAAAGCAGTTTCATCAGTCCTGTGGATTCAATCAGCTGATTTCACTGCATAATTTATGTTGAGGGCCTTGTTATGTAAGCATTACCAAAACTCTGATGGGCGACTGCTGTTGGTTTAGAAGCTTTGCTGATATACAAAAGTTACTGATTTATATCAAGGTACAGAAAATAAGTTAATGAGATTCCAATTAGTCTTGTACTCTGGAGCAAAGCATTTAACCCCAGGATGTTCAAGGTTGATTGTTCCTGTCACTTTGGATAAAACCAAACATCTGCTAACATCTCACTAAGTGCAGAGGTCCAAGATAAAAAAACGGCCTGTAACTAGTTTTTTCTTTTTCTTTTTGTCTCAGATATCCACACTGAGGCAGTTCAGGCAGCGTTGGCCAAGCATAAAGAGGAAAAGATGGCACTGCCCATGCCAACCAAGCGTCGGTCTGCATATGTACAGTCACCAATTGACAACTGCACCCCACCAGGTAATATATGCAAGCACAAATAAACCATTACAATAATATACTAGAGAGCTAGAGAAGAACTTACAGAACCATACCACATATAGTAAGGACATATCATCATATAGTTAATAGTATAGCTAATCAGGATCTTACACTTTTCCTGTTTAAAACAGCAAAAGTAACGTTATTTCTCAGTGAAACTGATAGCTTTAAATCCTGATCCTTATGTATTTTATATAATAATCATGTAGTGAATATTATATGAGTTAGATCAGTTATACAATTCGTATTTTATGTTGTATTTTTCAATTTTGAACATTTAGTCATTTACTACTTTTAAATTAAATTATTTTTATATCTAATCTTATAAATAGTTTTAATTTAAGGTACTTTTTATTTTAACATGTAATTAGAGTTAATTGAATTTGTTAATATTAATATAGATTTATAATACATATGAATATTAAGGAATAAACCTAAAACTAATTAAAAAGTAAAAAAGTAAATTAAAATAATTTATTAGTATTATTATATATGAATCTATTTATTATAAATATATATTTATTATCTATTAATGTATTTAAAATATACAGTATGTTTAGCATAACTTTTGTTTTTGCTGTGGTGTTAAAATTTGTAGCAAAAATTATGAAATTTTACGGGCATTAACTAGTGCTGTCAAACGATTAATCGCGATTAATCGCATCCAAAATAAAAGTTTTTGTAGTTTACATACTATATGTATGTGCACTGTGTTTATTTATTATGTATATATAAATACACACATACAGTATATATTTTGAAAATATTTACATGTATATTCATTTATGTATTTATATTATTATATTTTGAATTTTATATAAATATATTTAATAAATGAACAGCATATTTTTCTTAAATATATACATGTATGTGTTTGTATTTAAATATACATAATAAATATACACAGTACACACTCATATATTATGTAAACAAAAACTTTTATTTTGGATGCGATTAATCACGATTAATCGTTTGACAGAACTAGTATTAACATTTCGTTATTGTGGCAGCCACATTTACTATTCTCAGAAAAAAATAATTGTAAAAAAAGGCTTAAATAGTTCTTAGCATTATTTTTCTTATACTTATTCTGTCATTCTCTTCCTTTTCTTTTAATTTATTTTCTCTTGTCTTTCTCTCGCTCTCTCTGCCAGATTCCTCCTCTTCCTCTGATGATGAGGCCGTGTCGAGTGAAAGTGCAGGGCCTCAGCAGTCTCCAGACACCTGGATTAATAGCTCTCTGCACGGCTCCTCCACCTCCTCCTCCGCCTCCTCCACTCTCTCCCATGGGGAGTCTCGGCCCACCCAGGCTCCTCAGCCTCAGTCTCAGCAGGTCCCACCTCCACCCGCACCTGCCCACCCGCCCCACTCCCACTCCCAGCCCTCCGCCCTGGCAGAGGCCTTCGCTCAGGCACGCATCGGTGAGTCACAGTTACCCCACACTATTTTTGCAATTGTTTATACACTTTAGATGTTTCATTTGTATTATTTGGTTTTGAGTTTTAATTTGAGCTGTTTTATGCATGTGCTTTCATTGCTTTAATATTTCTAAATTGTTTGTCTTTTATGTTTTCTTTTGCCAAATGATTATTTTCTGTTCATTTATATCTTTTGTGACTGTCAGTGAAAAAATTGAGTGTTAGCAGTCTTCCGTCTTTCCCTGTGTTTGTAAAATCGTTGTGAGTTATGATTATTATCTGCCCTTCCACATGCCCCACCCTTAAGCCTCCGCTCCACCTGTGTGTTTAAAGCCTATGAATGATTGGTCTGTCAATAATGAAAAATTAATAAAGCTTCTTAAAGAAGTGGGTGAACTTCTTGTGTGGTTCAGGACTGATCATACATACCTTAATACACACTTGATCTCATACTGTTTTTATTCAATGAGTGTGCTTTTCCTACAAATGACGTACCTTGAGTGTGTGTGAAATGCAGACAATAAGTTTAGACAGTCTGTAGACTATGTGCTTAGACTAGAAAATCAACCAGTAATCAACTGTGAATATAAAGACAACATGAAACCGCATTCGCACCCTTGCAAAAACTGTTTATTTGCATCAGACCTGAAATGGAATATTCAGTAGGCTGATATTCAGGGGCGGTTTCTCCATTAGGGCGATTGGGCGACGCACCACCAAAGCGCGAAAGAGAGAATTGGCAGGAGCCGCCACTGCTGATATTATTGGTTAATGTTATTTTTCTCCACCCACACAGCCTTAGTCCTCAGAGGCAGAGAAAGTTAATCCATTTTGGTGAAAGATTATGAAAACAATGATGTACGATGATGATAATGATACACAATAAACCAGAGACAGTTATGTAAGAGATAATGTACAGACAGTAGGTAAAATAAACCCTGACAGGGTGATCAATATTGTAACACCCTCAAGAGGTTTATTTTGGGATAACAAGCGACTGACTTTACATTATCTCACGATAAAGGCAGACATTACTCAGCTACTTAACATGAAAAATAACGTGAAATATTGATTTGAGATTAAATGACTTTATAATGTTTAAAGAAAGAGACACTGCCATTCAAAAGTTTTTTTTTAAGCCTTTTATGCTTACCAAGACTGCATTTATTTGATCAAAAATAAAAACCGTAATATTGTGAAATGTTAAACATTTTTTTCATATATTTTAAAAATGTAATTTACTCCTGTAATGACAGTGAATTATTACATTTGTTATTACATTTGATATTATTATACATTTGATATAATATATTAAATATTTTTTAAACAAAATATTTTTGTAGAAAAAATTACACAATTTTTTTCAGGATTCTTTGATGAAGAGAAAGTACAAAAGAACAGCTTTTATTATTTTTTTTACTTTATTTATTTTAATTTCCCTTTAACCATATAAAAGTCTTTACTGTCTCTGTTGAACGAGTTAATGCATCCTTGATGAATGAAAGTGTTAAATTCTTTTAAATAAAATCTTAATGACCCAAACCTTTGAACAGTAGTTTACTATATGTAGGAAATTGGTGTCACTTACACAGTTTAAATGACATTGTATAGAAATATTTGAATGTTTGATAAATCAAAATAAAGTATTCTAAAGATACTATAAATAAAGTAAATAGGGGCTGTTTGATTTCATGTTGTCTTTAAAAATATCTTTGGGCTTATCACCAGTTTAAGTAAATCAAGGAAGCATATACTGAAAGCAGTACTGAATGCACATAGTTTACACAGACTCTTAAGAGAATAGTTCACGGTTGGATTGAAAAAAGTGGTACAAACATGAGTTTTCCCTTTGTTTTCCACATAAGAAAGAAAGCCATGCAGGTTTGGAGGGACAAAGTAATTAGAAATGAATGTTTCATTTTGGGTGAACTATTACTTTAAGAGCTAGGGTATGATATCTTTAAAACTTTTAGCTGGGCTGGGTATGAGTGAGTAATATGTGTTATTTTGTACCAGATCCGGTAGGAGGAGTCGGGCCCCCTGATGTGCCATCCCAATCTCAGGCCAGAGGCTCTCGTGTGGATCTGCCTGCCAACGCCGTGGTGCGAGGCATGAGTCGAGGCCAGAGCCGGTCCAGCATGATGGAGACAGCAGACGGTACTGAGTGTGTGTGTGTGTGTGCAGGGGAAAAAAAGTACTAGAGAAAGAGATAAATAGAGAAACACTTACTTGTAGTGTGCTACATTAGACATACTGTACATTCTCTGAAAATATATGTGAACCTTTAAGCGCCTTTTCATAACTTTCTTTTCATGCCTCTCAGAGTTTTGTGTTAACATCTCAGTAGGGACATTTCAATAAGTCTTTATGAATGCTGTGTTTGATTGCTTCATTAATCACATCCCGTTTCTTTTTTCTTTTCCACCTTTTATCCACTTGTGTCATGTTGCTTTTCTCTGTCAGTGAGAAGAGTAGGCAGAGGTAATAATTGGTTATAGACATGTCCTGGCTGACTTTAAAACTGTGTGTGCTTGTGTACTATATATGTGTTACACAGAGGAAATGTGAACCCAAGTGAAAACCTGCACTTCTTTAGGAAAATATAAACAATAGTAGATAAGTCATCCCTGCTTCTCTGCTTACATGTGGTTTTACTCAGTCCTGATCTTTCACAACACATCAAGGCTTCTTTGCAAGTGAACTAGTATGATATTTAAAGAAATAGTGTAAATTCTTCCAGTATTTACTCACCCAAAAATCCCCATAAATGTATCATAAAATAATTTCTTACAACTTTTGTACTATATAACAAAGTCCTTTAATATTTTTATATATAAAAATACAAAAATATCACAGTAAAAAATGTAAGAATACACTACCGTTCAAAAGTTTTGTTTTAGCAAAAATTTATTTGAATGTTTTAAAGTTTCTTATGCTCACCAAGTTTGAACTTATTTGAAAAAATAAACAGTGATATTGTGAAATATTAGTACAATTCAAAATTACTGTTTTCTATTTTTTTATATACAGTATTATACAGTGTAATTTATTCCTGTGATGACAAAGCTGAATTTTCAGCAGTCATTACTCCAGTCTTTAGTGTCACATGATCCTTCAGAAATCATTCTAATATTCCGATTTGACTTTTGACAGGGTTTTATAAATTTAATCTAAAATTATTTTTTTTTGTATCACAGTAAAACTCTTTATTATCACAATTCAATAACATTTTTACTGAACCCAAACTTTGGAACGGTGGTGTATATAATTTTACATATATTGATTTTGTACAGATATTTAATTTGATCTGTAAGTCATTGTACATCTTGGCATCTTTGGACCAGAACTGATGATACCACAGTTCAGGAGAGTGTAATAGATGTATATATACATTAGTATTCCCAGGTCAGTTGAAAGCGCGCGTGAGTGTGTGTTTGTTCGTCTCTGTCTTATCCCACCCTGCCTGACCCCAATCCTGGTGTAGGTGTTCCAGTGTCCAGTCGTGTATCCACAAAGATTCAGCAGCTGCTAAACACGCTAAAACGACCCAAACGCCCACCACTCAGTGAGTTCTTCATGGATGACCAAGAGGAGATTGTAGAAGGTACGTGAATTAATTCAAAAAACATCAAACACACTTGGTAAGAAAGCTGCAGTAATGTGGATCAGCGTATTTCTTCTTCCACAGTTCCTCAGGTAGATCCTAACGCCCCGAAGCCAGAAGGCCGGCAGATAATCCCGGTGAAGGGGGAGCCGTTGGGAGTGGTCAGTAACTGGCCTCCTGCTCTTCAGGCAGCATTAGCTCGATGGGGTGCCACACAAGGCAAGAGCCCCGCCCTCACAGCTCTGGATATCACAGGAAAACCACTTTATACGCTTACGTATGGTAAGACTGAGCAAGGTCGCCTGCAAAACACTTACCTTGATTGAAAGCAGATGCTGGAATTGCCAAGAAAGGTATAAGGGCTTTAAAAACTGAGTGATTGGTGTGTGATTGACAGGGAAACTGTGGAGTCGTAGTGTAAAGCTGGCCTACACTCTCCTCAACAAGCTGGGAACCAGAAATGAGCAGATCCTCAAACCAGGAGACCGGGTAAAAAAATATAGCTTAATAATGTAATAATTTATTAGTAATAAAATATTAATATAATTTAGATGTGTGCATACTTTTTTTTTTTTTTTTTTTTTTTTGCTGGCCTACTCCTCAACAAGCTGGGAACCAGAAATGAGCAGATCCTCAAACCAGGAGACCGGGTAAAAAAATATAGCTTAATAATGTAATAATTTATTAGTAATAAAATATTAATATAATTTAGATGTGTGCATACTTTTTTTTT